CTCGGCCAAAAATCATTCAACCGGGAAACCCGTGCAATATGCGCAAGGACTTGAGCTACAGATCAATCCTGTAAAGTTTCATTGAAATTGCATTAGTGGTATAAGAGAAGAAGTCCGGACAAACTTTAAAATTAAAAATTATTAAAGGGCCATAACTCTGACAAAAATCATTGAACCGGAAAATCCTGACAATATGCACAACTAGACTTGGTACTGATCATTCCTGTAAAGTTTGGATGAAATTGCACCAGTAGTTTATGAGGAGTAGTCCGGACAAGTTTTGTGACGGACGGACGGACAGACAGACAGACGACGGAGAAGTGATCCCTATATGTCGCCACTACTTAGTAGAGGCGACACAATAAAAGCAATTATTTCATCAATAAATCCCGCAGAAATATTATATTGTGTCGCACTATAATTGTGACCTTTTGTAATGTTCAGGCACACTGGGACTTTTTCGCTGTGCACTTATTTTGCAATAACATCATTGGATTTCACGATTTTAAAAAAGTCACATAACAGCAAATACTTCACAAAAAAAATAAGAAAAAGTGATGAGAAAGGATGCAAGAAAAATAAATCGAAGTTTTGGCTTTAGATAGGCTTCAAACACATGAACAAAAGTCATGATTGTAGTGTTTTTTACTTTTTTATTGTTTCACAAATTTTCCAAAAATTTCTTCAAATGTAATTTTTTTCCCAATTTAAGTCAGGGGCCCTTTCCCAAAAAATCTGCAAAAGGCCCTGTGGTGACATGAGAAGGTATTTTTAATAAAAATAAAATGGTGTGGCTGTCAAAAAAAAACGAGAAAACAAAAACTATGGGAACAACAGAAAAACAAAGTTTCAAAAGCAACTGTTGAAACAAATTGTACCAATGGTAGCTTGTTTAATTTCACTAGTGTTATCCTGAAAAGGAACTACATCTTTACATTCCACTGTCAATCTGAAAAATTAAGATTATCTCATCTGTTGACAAATGGTAAAAATAAATTTTTTTTTTTAATAAATGACTAACTAAAAGCATGAAAAATTGAAGATTTTCTATATACCACCTTCAAATATTAATGTTAAGTTAAACGTTTATCATTCTAAAGACTATAAAACAAACAGTCTTTTTCGGTAAAGATACTTATATATCTAAAATCCTGAATAAAGTATTATTTTCTTCAGTTTTATGTAGAAAGAGCTACCTGCAAATTTGGAAAATACCTGAAAACTTTTACCTATGTGGACATGACTGCTCACAGGTCACTTTTAACTTTAATCTATGATCAACCAGAAGGAAATGTTTTGATATTACGGTTTACCAAAAAAAAAAAATCCTCTCAAACATTCTGTAGAATCTATACATAAATGCAAAAATTAATTGTACTAAACTTACATGGCATTGTCACTTCTGATGTAGACATGAAAATGATACACTGATATCCTCTTTTTAATCATGACTGGCCACAGCACACCTTTGGGGACACCACCTACTTTTGCCCATACAAAGGATTCACCTGTAATTCTAACATCCTTTGGTATTTTATCCAAATTTGTGGAGGAGCTGAAAAAAGAAAACATTTAATTTCAAGGTTTTTCCTGTAGTACCCTTCCAAGAATTTTTTGTCAAATGTCATTGTTTCACATTAAAAAATAATACTGTTCAATTAACCTTTTACTTCATAGAGACATGTTTTGCCGTGTCTACGCATTACTTCATGCAGATATATTTTACCAGGTCTACCCATTACTTCATACTGACGGTAATTGACGTGTGCGGCCATTTCCCTGGAGAAGGTTTTCACGAGTTTACTTTAACACGGTTAAAATCTATATTTTTCGTCATTGAAACAATTTTAAAACACAACAGTTTTAAACATTAATCTATTATAAAGTCAAACAAAATAACAGGTTTACTATTGAAGATTGTCGAGAAAAATGGCATTGAAAAAGTTGAGAAAAGTATGCAACTTGTGGGAAACTAACTGCGGGATCTACGTATTTTCTGTGCTTTTTTAATGCTTTCCCGATGATGGTCTCGACTTTCTAACTTATTTCATTTTTTTTTTGTGACTGTTTGAAATTATATTTGGTCCTTTCGAGATCAAAAGTTCTTTTATTTGTCTGAATACTTTTATCAGCAACATCAATGAATGGCCAACCTTTTTGATGATTTTGATTCAGAACTGCACATTTCACATCCCATGTCTGTAAATTTATAACCTAAATTCATGCTTGAAAAAATATTTTCTAAATCTAGATTATCAAAAAATTACAGCAGGTCCATGTCAATAATATTATGTTGAAATCTCAAACATATTCTCGTCTCTAAAATATTTATGAAATTTTTACTGCTGTCCATAATTTTAACACCTACCGACAACGATCCCAAAACATCTGAAAAAAATCATGAGAGTCTTCCATCATCAGATTTACTAACGTAAAAACACCCCAGTTATCGTAGCAAATAAGAAATCCGTTATCAAATCTATGTACATGCTTGATGTCCGATATGAAATATGGTGGGACAAAAAATGCAAACATGGAAGGCATGTTTCCGCGCAAATTCGTCCACGCGAAAATATGTGACAATTCACTATGACTGTATCTATCTATACTGCATTACACAATTTCAAGTACTTTTGGAAGCTAAAATATTAAGTGATTGTAAAACAAAATATAGATATCCATCACATTATGTGAACTTACTTTTTGTCCACCAATTTACGTTTCCTTCCCATTTCGGCGAGAAATGTGCTTTTTACTGCGCATGCGCACCAAAAAAATACACGATGATTACCGGAAAGACGCGAAATTACCGAAATCGGCGAAATTATCTAAGGGAGGCTAATGCTACATACCACGCTATGGACTGATATTGGACGTCCATAGCATGGAAATTTACATACCAATTTTTGAGTGGCTAGAAGAATAAAATGTTGATATCAAGCCACTTAAAGTTAGAAAATGATGTCTATAGAAATCTTTTATGGGGTTAGCCACTTAAAAGATTTTAGCCACATTAATGTCATACAAGCTTAATTATAGCCACATAAGTATCAGAGCGTGAACACGTCCGGCCGTCTGGCCGTCCGGCGTCCGGCCGTCCGTCGGTTTTTTCTTGTCCGCCCAATAACTTAAGATTCCTATGACCCACAGCCTTCATATTTGGCATGATGGTTACTCATGATTAGTAGATGACGCCTATTGATTTTGAGGTCACCAGGTCAAAGGTCAAGGTCACAGGGGCCTTGACTTCAAAAACCTTGTCCGCCCAATAACTTAAGATTCCTATGACCCACTGTCTTCATATTTGGCATGGTAGTTAGTCATGATTAGTAGATGACCCCTATTGATTTTTAGGTCACCAGGTCAAAGGTCAAGGTCACAGGGGCCTTGACTTCAAAAACCTTGTCCGCCCAATAACTTAAGATTCCTATGACCAACTGTCTTCATATTTGGCATGATGGTTAGTCATGATTAGTAGTTGACCCCTATTGATTTTGAGGTCACCAGGTCAAAGGTCAAGGTCACAGGGTCCTTGACTTCAAAAACCTTGTCCGCCCAATAACTTAAGATTCCTTTGACCCATTGTCTTCATATTTGGCATGGTGGTTAGTCATGATTAGTAGATGACCCTATTGATTTTGAGGTCACCAGGTCAAAGGTCAAGGTCACAGGGGCCTTGACTTCTAAAACCTTGTCCGCCCAATAACTTAAGATTCCTATGACCAACTGTCTTCATATTTGGCATGGTAGTTAGTCATGATTAGTAGATGGCCCCTATTGATTTTGAGGTCACCAGGTCAAAGGTCAAGGTCACAGGGGCCTTGACTTCAAAAACCTTGTCTGCCCAATAACTTAAGATTCCTATGACCCACTGTCTTCATATTTGGCATGATGGTTAGTCATGATTAGTAGATGACCCCTATTGATTTTGAGGTCACCAGGTCAAAGGTCAAGGTCACAGTGGCCTTGACTTCAAAAAGCTCCTTAGCCCTATAACTTAAGATTCCTTTGACCCACTGTCTTCATATTTGGCATGGAGGTTAGTCATGATTAGTAGATGACCCCTTTTGATTTTGAGGTCACCAGGTCAAAGGTCAAGGTCACAGGGGTCTTGACTTCAAAAAGCTTGTCCGCCCAATAACTTAAGATTCCTTTGACCCACAGTCTTCATATTTGGAATGGAGGTTAGTCATGATTTGTAGATGACCCCTATTGATTTTGAGGTCACCAGGTCAAAGGTCAAGGTCACAGGGACTTTGACTTCAAAAAGTTTGTCCACCCATTTATGACCCACAGTCTTCATATTTGGCATGGATGTTGATCATGACTATAAGGTGACCCCTATTGATTTTGAGGTCACTGGGTCAAAGGTCAAGGTCACAGGGACCTTGACAAAAAAAAGCTTTTCTTCTTAATTGTTAAAGAATGTCCTGTCCGCAATGTATTGATTTTGACTTTTCACATTTGAAGCATGTAGAATACATAACTTAGCAATGCACTGGCTTAGTAACCTCAGATTTGGCAGGGAGGTTGTCCTTGAGCTCTAAATGGCCACTGTTGATTCTGACAAAGTGGTATGCGGGGGTATTCACGCCATGATAGTGGCAGTTCTAGTTACACTTGGCTTTGATTTTTAATAGGATAGGGATGATAACCAATATTGGAATGTTCGATTTTTCGAAACACAACGGAATATTCGAATATGAAATTCTGATTTGAATATTTGTTTTAAAAAGAATGTTTTTTTTTCAAGTTGTTTTTTGTTGAATATTTTGTTCATAACGTTTCCTGAATATTCCAAAGATCTGTGAAGTAGTTTGTTTAAGTATTTCTTTTATAAAACTGTGTCTGAAGTTTTTGTCATAAACATCGTCTTAAATTTCTAAAGAAAAACTTCAGACTTCGGATTTTATTTCTGCCGTATTTCTTAACCTCATTGATGATTATATTCAAGTAGAATTTTCAATTACAAAAGAATGCAAACTGGTTAAAGGAATAGAATGCTTTTACATTTTCACAATATAATTTCAGTTCTCTGTGACAATGTTATCACACCACAAAATGGTGCTTTCACGTCAGTCACAGATGGAGAAACTTCAACTGTAGTCTTTACGTGCGATGAGGGATTCACTTTAAAAGGAACAAGTGATGTGACATGTGCTGTATCAGGGAAATACGAAGCTTCTGAGCCAACTTGCTGTAAGCTTTCATTGAGTTTAAGTTTTGATATGTCTATTGTGAGCAGTATTCAGGAGCGCAAATTGGCTAATATAAGTATTTTTAAACATTGTACTTTAAAGTAGATCAGCTGTCATACATGACATTCCTAGCATGCCATAACTATGAATAAAATAGTTCTGTAAAACCGCACATGTTTACACTCTGTATTACTATTAGATTTTCAGTCAGTATTTTATCGAACATCCTAACATACAACATGGTTAGGTTATATGCACAAGTTCTTGAATGAAAATGATCACTTATATGCATGATGACAGATATAGTGGAATAAATGATGTTTTGTAGCTTGTGTACTTCTGATAACATAAATGTGAGAAAACTGGAATGCGAGAAAACTATTCAGCCAAGTGAAAGATTTTACTAAGTTTCCTGCGCATGTTTTAGATATCATTTATATAAACAGTATACCTAAAAAATTGCCTTATGACCAATACAGACTTTGTGTGACCCCTTCATAACCTTACAATAAGAATATGTAAATAGAAATGGTTTCATTCTTGCTAACTCTGTCATTAAACTGTTTTCAACACATTTTGGTCTTTTCTTGATAACTAACCAGTAATCATCTATTTCTCTGCAAGTGACCGACTACTTATTCTTACAAGATTTGTAAATCAGCAATGAGAATAATAATATCTGTCATATTTTGCGGTTCGGATCGGAATATCCGTCCCAAGGTGACCAGCCCGTTGGGAGGTAACGAGGCTTGCTGAGTTACCACCCATGGGCGGGTTACTGAGGGACGGATATTCCTATCCGAACCGCAAACATAATTATGTCAGATGTTTTTTCTTGCATATTCTACCATATTCCATTATATTTTAAATTCTTTATCTTTATTTTCAATGAAAATTTATATCATTACAACTGTAACTACTTTCTTACAACAGCGTATGAATTAAAACTTCATTCATAACGGTAAAATGATGTCATCCTAACCGTGCCATTGTACAGCACATGACTCATCTGGAACCCCCCCATGCCAGATGAAATTTCCGGCATGGGTAAAACTCACGGAAACACCAGTCTGATATGCAAGTAACAAATTACCATTAGACTCATGTACCATAACTTTGAAAATATGAAAGATGGGTTTTATGTAAGAAAATATGTTACATTTAAATTAGTCTTTGGAGTTGAGAGTCATATACATGTATATCAATTTTTAATATATATAAGAAGTCAAATGCACATGTGAATTATCTACTCTCCAGCACAATGTGATATTCTGATTCAACCAGAATCTGGTACCATGACAACATCAACAAATGGTACTATTACTGTGGTAACCTTTGACTGTAGTTCAGGATACCATCTCCATGGAGATTCTAGTCTTAGTTGTGGCACAGACGGAACTTGGAATGGGTCAGAACCAGAATGCCGTAAGTGCCTTTAAAAATGTTATGGACTTTTTAGCTCACCTGTCACAAAGTGACAGGGTGAGCTTTTGTGATCGCTTTTCGTCCGGCGTCCGTAAACTTTTACTTTAAATGACATCTTCTCATAAACCACTAAGCCAATTTCATCCAAACTTCACAGGAATGTTCCTTTGGTGGTCACCTTTGAAAATTGTTCAAAGAATTTAATTCCATGCAGAACTCTGGTTGCCATGGCAACCAAAAGAAAAAAACTTTAAATATCTTCTTCTAAAAAACCCAAAGAGCTAGAGCTTTAATATTTGGCATGAAACATCTTCTAGTGAGTGTCTACCAAGTTTGTTCAAATAAAAGCCCTGGGGTCAAAATTGGCCCCGCCCCAGGGGGTCATTGATTTTCCCTATATACATATAGTAAAAACTTAAAAAATCTTCTTTTAGAGAACCCAAAGAGCTAGAGCTAAGATATTTAGCATGAAACATCCTCTAATGGGTGTCTACCAAGTTTGTTCAAATAAAAGCCCTGGGGTCAAAATTGGCCCCGCCCCAGGGGGTCATTGATTTTCCCTATATGCATAAAGTAAAAACTTATAAAATCTTCTTTTAAAGAACCATAAGAGCTAGAGCTAAGATATTAAGCATGAAACATCTTCTAGTGAGTGTCTACCAAGTTTGTTCAAATAAAAGCCCTGGTGTCAAAATTGGCCCTGCCCCAGGGTGTCATTGATTTTCCCTATATGCATATAATAAAACCTTAAAAATCTTCTTTTAAAGAACCCAAAAAGCTAGAGCTAAGATATTTGGCATGAAATATCTTCTCATGAGTGTCTACCAAGTTTGTTCAAATAAAAGCCCTGGGGTCAAAATTGGCCCCGCCCCGGGGTCATTGATTTCACAGTGTCTACCAAGTTTGTTAAAATAAAAGCCCTGGGGTCAATACTGGCCCCGCCCCGGGGGTCATTGATTTTCCTAATATGTGTATGGCAGAAACTTAAAAAAAAATCTTCTTTGAAAAAATCCAAAGAGCTAGAGTTTAGATATTTGGCATGAAACATCTTCTAGTGAGTGTCTACAAAGTTTGTTCAAATAAAAGACCTGGGGTCAAAATTGGCCCCTCCCCGGGGGTCATTGATTTTCCTTATATGTGTATAGCAAAAAACTTAAAAATCTTCTTTGAAAAAACCCAGATTGCTACAGTTTAGATATTAAGCATGAAACATCTTCTAGTAAGTGTCTACAAAGTTTGTTCAAATAAAAGCCCTGGGGTCAAAACTGGCCCTGCCCCAGGGGTTTCATTGTTTTTAACTAAAACTTAAACTTAAAAATTTAAAAAACTTCTTTAAAAAAACAAATGAGCTAGAGCTTAGATGTTAAGCATGAAACATCATCTAAAAGGTTACTACCAAGTTTGTTCAAATAAAAGCCTTTGGTCCTGCCGGGGGGGGGGGGGGGGAAGACAGGAGGTCATTGTTTTTCATTATATGTGTGTAGTAAAAACTTAACATCATGAAACATCTTCTAATGGGTGTCTTCCAAGTTTGTTCAAATAAAAGCCCTGGGGTTTAAACTAGCCTCGCTCAGGGGGCCTATATACAGGTGAGTGACCTCAGGGCCATCATGGCCCTCTTGTTTTCAGTTTTGTAAGAGTTATTGCCCTTGACTTTCAGAAGTATAAATTTGCAATTTTCAACTTGTTCATGCATAGCTCAAAAAGTATTTCACTTGTAGGCCTGAAAGTTTACAAGAATGTTGGTCAGCATGTGTACTTATGCACCTTGGGGTTTGCTTGTGGATTTATTCAGTATTTGTAAAGTTCTTGCTCTTTACTTGGTAAAAGATTTTTAGTTTTCAAAAAATATTTGACCTAGAGTCATAAGATTGACAGAACAGTGGCGCGGTGGGGGCACCCGTGGCCTATGGACACATTTCTAGTTATAATAATACATTCCGTAACAAGGTTGAGTTCTTTTGATGTAAAGAGGTAAATGAGGTATCATTTTCTATTTAGCTGCAACAACGACTACATCTACCACATCAACAACTACAACTACCACTACACCGACGACCACACCTACTACACCAACAACCACACCTACCACTACACCGACGACCACACCTACCACTACACCTACGACCACACCTACAACTACACCAAGACCACACCTACCACTACACCAACAACAACACCTACCACTACACCAATGACCACACCTACCACTACATACACCAATGACCACACACTACCACTACACCAACAACACACCTACCACTACACCGACGACCACACCTACCACTACACCGACGACCACACCTACAACTACACCAACGACCACACCTACCACTACACCAACAACAACACCTACCACTACACCAATGACCACACCTACCACTACACCAATGACCACACCTACCACTACACCAATGACCACACCTACCACTGCAACAACAACCACAATTTTAAGTGATGAAATGATCATAGTTATTGTTGTTGTACCTGTTGGTGTAATAGCTGTTGTCGGGATAGTCATCTTTTTTTATTTGTTTTATCGTCCAAGAAGGGGAAAAAGTCATAAAAGACATAAACATGGAAAACATTACAAAGGATACATGAGATCAGTCCAGCAACTTCAGCAACGGCCTTATATATTATATGGCAGAGATCATACAGGGGAACCAAACCACAAAGAGACCAAAAGGTCACGATCATTACATAATGATGATGGGTATAATTTGTATGATGGGTATCACTGGGGAAGTTGGGTCAAACAAAACCCTGTGTACAAGGGTGATAGAAATCTCGGCAGATTATATTACAATGACTTGTTACCAAGGTATGATGACTACTGGTCAGGATATACAAGAGGGCATGTTTACCCATCACATACAAGCCAATATCAGTACAGACCAGATTACCATGGAGACAGCAGACAACATGGAAACCGCCAACATTCCTCTTATCCAGTCTATTCTAGACAACAGGAATACATTAATCCTTCATATTCATACATGGGATACTGAGATAATTATATATATCAACAGATATTTAAAATTCATAGCCGTAATCAAAAGATACATATTGGTGGTACATGTCCATGTTCAATTTTAATCATTTATGACAGAATCAAAACAGATATGTAATTATGTCCTTTTTTATGCACGAAAACAAGGAACAATCAATATTGTTAACTGTTAGTGATCTTAAACCTATATCATATAGGTTATGATATAGGTTTAAGATCACTAACAGTTAACAATATTGATTGTTCCTTGTCATTAAAAACCTTAATAATTAATTGAGCAATTTAAGGGCCATCGTGGCCCACTTGTTCAGCAAATTTTCTGTTAAATTATTGGTTTAAACAGAATAACTTCAAGTATATTTCACTGAATATGTTCATATTTTGCACTCAAGCATGTAATATCAAAACAAAAGTCAAATTTGACTTTCTCAGCTTACTGCAACCTTGCATTGATTTTTTTTTTTCAAAATGAAGTCGTTATGTTCAATTATCTCCTGTTGCAAATACAGTTTAACTTGAGCTTTTTTGGTCACTTTGGAGCACTAACAGTTATGTTTATTTCCTCCTGATGAAATCCTTATATAAATGGCCACAAATTGTGGTCACTTGCTGCCAACGGCCACTAGAATAAGCTTCCCTGTGGCCATTTTGAATAAAAAAGCAGTCAGTGTCACCTTGTTGACATCAAAGAAAAGGTGTGAAAATACAAATAAAGCCATGTTGCGCATCATTAATGACTGTTCGTTTAGACGCCCTTGTGTGGTATTAATTTGATCCCAATGTAAAGATATTTGGTCAGACTGTTTAATCTAAATTATGGTCATAACTTTTTAACACTATAGAATTGTTATTATTGTTTACAAAAAAGAGATTTGAAATAAATTTCCAATATTTGTTTTGTTAATCATATCAAAAACTGTATGTGTTTTATATACAGTATTATAGGTGCAGGTCTTTCGAGGAATAAAGATTTTTAAATCTAATTGATATTAATTTTTTGGTTAAAAGGGTACATTGTCAAACTTTTTATTGGGTATCTGATTTCTTTTGTTTCAACTGTTTTCATTAACTTATGTATTGTAGTAAACTCAGAACAGTGGGAATGATGATAGCACACACTAAATATATTCATTATATTGCATCAGATGATACTTATTGTATTATTTCTTTTAACACATGCTGCTGCAGATATGAATTTAATTAAAACTTTAATGCTTGTCTGATATTCAAATGAAGTGACAACAAATTCAACTTTATATTTTGTATTGTATATATACAATCATGTATTTAAGTAGAACATTTTTTGTTTGTCTAATTTATAGTACATTGTAAAAAAAACAAAATAATACTTAAAACACTGAAATCTCATAATATTTTGTGTTACTGAAATTGAAGTTTACGTTGAATATCATAGTTGTTTTATTTTTTTGTTATTTTTTAAATTTGATGTTGTTTTAAAGGAGGTTGATATATCGATATCTGCTTTTTGTGTAATACAGTCGAACTTCGTTCGCTCGAACTCGGAGGGCCTGTGCAAATTTGTTCGAGAGATCGGTAGTTGGAGCCAACCGAGGTTGAACTATCATTACATTGATCATATGCCTAAAGGTTTTCCTAGCTTACATCGGTAATGATAAATGCGTCAATATAATTGTTTGTTAGTATATCTGTTCGTCAAATATTTCATATTCAGAATTATTATCCCAGTGATTGAATTAAGTATTAACGGTACGCTGTGTTAATCTATATTCATGCATATTGTAATTGGTTGAGTTTGATTGGGCAATCACACCAAACTTGTTGAACAATGTATAAAATATATTTATATGTTTATAATGGGATGAATTTAATTTTAAAAAATAAATTAATGAAATATTTATTAAAAACATTTACAGCAGCATCTATTTGTAGTCGTTTACTAAAATAAACACACATACAAGTATCATTCTATTAATAGATATCACTGTTACGATTCACTTTACATGAA